TCAGCTTTACAAGCCCCACTCTGTCACACACTCAGCTCGGCCTCGTGGAGAGAAAGCAGCCACGGAAGATATGTAATAAGGGGGCGTGGCTGCGTTCCGATCATACCGAGGAACAGAAAGGGCCCGGCTCCGGTTCAGACTCACAAAAGAGCTCCATCCGAGAGTGCACCAACAGGCAATCAGTTAAGCGCATCACGGGATTCAGTGGAAGGCGGTGCGGCTGTTAGAGAGAGAGTCCCATGTGTAGGACAGAGATCGGGAAGCCCTGACATCGAAAGAGAGCCCGAGAGCTTTAAGGAAGAAAGCAAGTTTCCAGACTATATGTATATAGGATACCATTTGTCCCTCACCCCCCATTTCTGCTTTAAACACACTCACACCCCCACTCTATCAGGAAGAACTGTTCGAACTAGGGGAACGAAACTTCACTTGGTACATTATTCCATTCTTTAATGTTTGGACTTTTATACAAAGATTATTATTACTAATTCATAAAAGTAGACACTTTTGAAATGAAAAAGAAAGCAAGTGGGAAACTACAAAATCCCGCAGGAAGGGAAAGGCCTGCTTCCGGGGGGGCCCAGCCTCACTGTGCACGCGGAGACACGCCGCCCTCACTGCTCTGCACTCCCCCTTCTGGAGCCTAATATTCTAACAGAGAGTCGCCCACGTCCAACAGGCGCTGGAGATGCCACAATCTATAAGTGCTGTTCTACTTGTAAGTCATTTTGTTTGGAGTTAGGACAGATGACTTTGCAAATCACCTGCATGTACTAGTATATTCATGGATACGTGTGATTGTGCTGACTATGTTTTCTAGGCAAGTCAAAGAATCTGCACACCTATGGTCCTTTCCCGGAACATCTGCTTTCCTGAGGTTGTCCCTGGTTAGTGAGAATGTGACCAGCAGTAGTTCGTGTGTGTACAGGACAGTGTGGGAACACAGGCCCTCAGGCCGATACCAACAGCTCCCGAGTGTCCCACGTGTGCTCTAGGCCAGGATCCCGTACCCCGTGTCACGCTGCCACATTTAATGTAATTCTCACACAACAATCCTATCGGGTAGGTACTGTTACCACCCCCAGTTCATAGAAGAGGAAACGAGTGTAGAGTCACTTACGCGAAGTCACAAACCAATGAGCGGTGGGACCAGGACCTGACCCACATCTGTCTGGAGAGAGGTCGTTTGCCAAACCCTGACTCCATCTTGTCTCCCTGGCCACCTCCCTCCACGAGCTACACAACTGTTTCCTAAAAGTGTGCTCACGTCATGATCTCAAAGGCCATTCAGTAACACGAACTCCACAACATCCGAAACGCCTAACAAAGGACTGGCCTCATGTCTGCCTCTGATAATAACA